GGGGCGGGCCCTCCTTCTGGTCCGAGGCCTGCCCCACGGCCGGGCGCACGCCCGCGCGGTCACCCGATGTGACCCTGGCACCCGGGGCGGCGGGGGCGCGGTTGGCGGCTGGCACCCGCTCCCTGCAGGAACAGTGCGGAGGTTGTTCCCGGCGGGGAGCCGGCACCGGCCGCGATTTCGGCCCGACCACGGAGCCTGGGCGCCCGCCATCCCACTGCCGGGGGCTGCTCTTTCCGGGGTGCGAGAGGGGAGTCGGAGGGTCCACCCGCGTATAGGTCCTCGCTGCTTCTCGCCTCTTTTGAGGTTTGTGTTGGGCTTGTGGTTGCGCGAGCTCATCACGTGCAAGAGCGCAAGAGGGAAAAGAGAGGAGGTGGAAAGAAAGATGGGCAAGATGGTGGGGGAGAGAGAGACAGGAGAGAGGCACGCTTTGCTGTTTGGGCTGTGGGAGCCAAAAACGCGTGGTGAGATGTGACCGACTGCTCTCTCCAGTTTGAGAACGCATCAAGTCTACGTTGTTTAGACGTAGAATCTCAGAAGCTAAGACATCATTCGAATGCCGTCCCGCGTTTACTCACGATTAAAACCTTAGCGACAAAACAGCAGCGGTGCGTGGACGGCTCTTGGAAGCTAAAACGTTTAGCTAAACCTCAACGCGGGGTAAAATCAGCAGCTGTGAGGACGTGATGATGCCTTCTGTTGCTTTTCTAGGCATTTTTTCTTTATGTCCTGTTTTTGAGGTTTTAATGTTTGAAGGATGGTGTGTGTGTGTGTGTATGTTTTAAGGCAAAGCTTTTGGCAAGGAAAGCAATAATTGGAATGTATAGTACGGTAAACAAATCATCGTTATAATCGAATTTAAAATTGCTGCAGAATTTCCCTCTGTCTAACGGTTCATTCCTGACTAGGCGATCAGTCAGCAGCTTTGGGAAGGGAAGGAGAAGGGAATTAGTTTGGAGTCCCTACTAGGTGTCCCATGATTTAGTCTTCACGCTTCTCCAAAATGCATCAAGCCAGTCCTGTTTTTTTTAAAGCTTTTTTGGGATGAAATATACATAACAAAATTTACCATTTAACCATTTTTAAGTGTACAGTTTAGTGCATTAAGTACATTCCCATCACCACCATCCATCTCCAGAACTTTTTCATCTTCTCAAACTGAAACTCTGCAGCCATAAAGCAGTAACTTCCCATTCACCCTTCCCTCAGTCCTTGGCAACCACCATTCTACTCTCTGTCTCTATGAATTTGACTACTCTAGGTATTTCGTATAAGAGGAATCATACAATATTTGTCCTCTTGTGACTGACTTATTTCACTTAGTATAATGTCCTCAGGTTCATCTTATGTTGTAGCATATGTCAGAATTTTCTTTCTTTTTAAAGGCTGAGTAATATTTCATTGTATGCATAGGTCACGTCTTGTTTATGCATTCATCCATTGATGGTCACTTGGGTTGTTTCCACCTTTGGGCTATTGTGAATAATGCTGCTATGACCATGGTGTACAAAACCTGTTCAATTCTTTGCTTTCAGTTCTTTTAGGTATATACTCGGAAGTGGAATTGCAGGATCATACAGTAGTTCTATGTTTAATTTTTTGAGGAACTGCCATACTTTTTTCTCTAACAGCTGCACCATTTTCCATTCCCACCAGCAATGCACAAGGGTTCCAATTTCTCCACATCCTTACCAATACTTATTTTCTGTTTTTTGACAATACCCATCCTAAGAGGTTTGGAGTGGTTTCTCGTTGTGGTTTAATTTGCATTTCCCTAATGATTAGTGATGTTGAGCATCTTTTCGTGTGCTCATTGGCTATTTGTATATCCTACTTAGAGAAATGTCCATTCAAGTCCTTTGCCTATGTTTTAATAGGATTATTTTGTTGTTGTTGAGTTGTTGGAGTCTTTATATATTCTATATATTAATCCCTTATCAGATATATGATTTGCAAATATTTTTTCCCATTCTGTGGGTTTCATTTTCACTCTGTTGATAGTGCCCTTTGATGCAGAAACTTTTACGTTTTGATGAAATTTGATTTATCTATTTTTTCTTTTGTTGCTTGTGCTTTTAGTGTCATATCTGAGAAATCATTGCCAAATCTGATGTCATGTAGCTTTTTCTCTATGTTTTTTCTAAGAGTTTTATAAAGTCTTAGCTCTTAGGCTTTGGTCTTTGGTCCATTTAGAGTTAATTTTTGTATATGGTGTAAGGTAAGAGTGAAAATTCATTCTTTTGCATGTGGATATCCAGTTTTCCCAGCACCAGATGTAGAAAAGGCAGTCCTTGCCAGCCCTGTTTTTAAGATGTGGGATTTGAGGCTTAGATTGTGCATTAATCAGGATTCTCCAGAGAAACAGAACCAATAGGAGATATATATCTATCTATACCTATATCTATATCTATATCTATATCTATATCTATATCTATATCTATATGAGATTTATCATAAGGTGTTGGCTTATGTGACTATAGAGGCTAAGAAGTCCCACGATCTGCCATCTGCAAGCTGGAGATCCAGGAAAGCCGCTAGTGTAGTTTGAAGGCCTGAGAGCCAGAGCCAATGGTGTAGATTCCACTCTGGGTCTGATGGCCTGAGAACCAGGAACACCACGGACAGGAAAAGATCGATGTTACAGCCCAGCAGTCAGGCAGAGAGCGAATTCAACCATCCTCTGCCTTTTTGTTCTGGTCAGGCAGTGAATAGTGGATTGGATGGTGCCTACCCACATTGGGAAGGGCCATCTGCTTTACTCAGTCCATCCATTCAAATGCTAATCTCTTCCAGAAATACCCTCACAGACACGCCTCAAAATACCATTTAACCACATCCTGTGGCCCAGTCAAGTTGACACATAAAATTAACCATCATAAAGGGGCCATCCTGGTGGCATAGTGATTAAGTTCACGCACTCCGCTTTGGTGGCCTGGGGTTTTCGGGTTCGGATCCCAGACTTGGACCTACACACTGCTCATCAAGCCATGCTGTGGCAGCATCTCATGTACAAAACAGAGGAAGATCAGCACAGATGTTAGCTCAGGGACAATCTTCCTCAAGCAAAAAGAGGAAAGTTAGCAAGGATGTTAGCTCAGGGACAATCTTCCTCACCAGAAAAAAAAAAAAATTAACCATCTTAGAGAGTGTAAATCACTTGCCCAGGAAAGGCCATACAGATTGGGAGCAGCAGAGCCTGGGCTCGTACAACACCCTTTCCCCTGAAACACCCTCTAATTCATACTTTGCCAGATTTTGTCCCACCCACCTTTCAGTACCCTGCTAGAAGCAGGTAGAGAAACTGGTAGGTTTCTTTCTTTCTTTCTTTCTTTCTTTCTTTTTTTTTGGTGAGGAAGATCAGCCCTGAGCTAATATCTGTTGCCAATCCTCCTCTTTTTGCTGATGAAGATTGGCCCTGGGCTAACATCTGTGCCCATATTCCTCTACTTTTTATATGTGGGACGCCTGCCACAGCATGGCTTGATAAGCAGTGTGTAGGTCTGCGCCCAGAATCTGAACTGTTCAAGTGTGTGAACTTAACCACTATGCCACTGGGCTGACTCAGTAGTTTTTTTTTTTTTTTTAACTTAAGAAAATAATTTCAGACTTACAGAAGTGTTGAAAGGTAGTACAGAGAGTTCCCGCATACCCTTCACCCATCTTCCCCTAATGTTGACAGCTTATATAACCATCGAAGCTAAAAAATTAACACTGAATTGAAACTATTAACTATACTACTGATTTTGCTTGGATTCCACCAGTTATTCCACAAATACGCTTTTTCTGTTCCAGAATCCAGTCCAGGTACCACACTGCATCTAGTTGTCGTGTGTCCTTAGTCTCCTCTGATCTGTGACAGTTTCTCCATCTTTCTTTTGTCTTTCATGACCTTGACACTTTTGAAGAGAACTGATTTTTGTATACTGTCCCTCAATTTGGGTTTGATGTTTTCTCATGATTAGACCAAGGTTATGGATTTTTAGGGAGAATGTCACAGAGGTGAGATGCCTTCTCATCGTGCTGTATCTCGGGGTACAGGGTGTCAACATGACTTATCACTGATCACTGAGGAACTGATATTTCTTGCTTTTTAAACAGGGACCACTGCAATAGCCTTCAAAATTCCTGTCCTGAGGATGCTACCAGACTTCTCCTTCGACATCATTCCTCTGTCATTCATTTGCATACAGATCTAAAATGGCTTTGTGTGTTTATTGTATCAAATTCAATCTTCCCAATATGGTCTTTTTAAACATTCACTTTATCTGGCCAACTTTACTTTCCACTGTGCCTCCCACATTGATGCTTCCTCTCTCCTTCCCTGCAAACCACCATTCTCAGCCTGCCCTCAAGCCAAGGCCCAGGCTGCCTTTATGTTCCAGTTCATGTCTGACTACGCCAGACAGCAGTGAGCTTTCTCTTCTCTAAATTCCTGATCTGTTCCTACAGTCTCACTTTCATGTAGTTTTACTTTTTCCCCCAGGTATTTAATGTGTGTATCTTGTCTTCTCTCCAAGTGCTGGAAACAGAGTAGCTGCTTCAGTAGTGGGATTCAAGTAGCACTAACTTAAAAATCTACTTTAGGGACAGTGAGTGATAATGTAAAAGAAGAACCAAGAAGGATTTCAGCAGTCTTGGAGCTGATAATACTGTAGACAAGGCTGGGCTACAGGTCCAAAGAGCTGCGAAGCCACCAGGGTTGTGGATTTCCCATATCAATGAGAAAAGAAAGATAGACAATGAATTTCTCCTACAGAGCAGGTAGCTCTACATACAAATCAGGGCCTGATTT